CTCCCTCCGTAAGCTTGGCAAGGCTGGGGTGAACACCAACACGGATGGGGCTCGCACTTATAAGGGGAAGCTGGGCAATCGGGTGCTTTGGGATCTGCACGAGAGCAAGGACGTGTACAGATCTATGTGGCAGCTGCCGGCGCTGGCGTGGCACGGTGGGGGGCAGGCTGGAGAGGGGTCTGCATCCCAGGGGGAGTGCAACGCCGTTGGAGGGGTTGGTGTGAAAGTGTCGGCCAGATCTGGGGAGACAGATTGGGCAACTGCACACCGACGTTTGGGGCATGTGGCAATGCCTTTGCTGAAGCAGCTGGAGAAGGATGGAGCCGTTAAGGGCTTAAAGCTGAACGGACAACCACCCGATGATAACTGTGAAATTTGCCTCCTTTCAAAGTTCACCCGTTTCCCCTTCCATAGTGTGGCTGGCAGGAGCAAAAAGCCGTTGGAGCTGGTCCACATGGACTTGGTGGGGCCGCTGCCGGTGCAAGGGCACAAGGGGGAGCGGTACTTCCTAACCATAGTGGATGACTGGAGCAGGCTAATGTGGGCGTATCCGCTGAAGCAGAAAGATCACGCCGCCTCCACGATTCGGGACGATTGGCTGCCGTTAGTGGAGAAGCAAGCGGAGTGTGTCGTGAAGCGGATTAGGACAGATCGGGGTGGTGAGTTCCTTGGAGCTGAGATGACGGCCTGGCTCAAGAAGCAGGGCATCCAGAGGGAGCTGACCACGGCTTACACCCCACAGTCCAACGGTGTAGCAGAACGGGCGAACCGGACAATTCTGGAGACAGCTAGGGCGCTGCTCATAGAATCTGGGCTGGGCAACTTGATGTGGCCCCATGCTGTTCGGCACGCTACCGTCGCTAGGAACAGGGTACTCACAAAGGTTGGGGATGACTCGTGGGTGCCGTTGGAGAGGTGGCTTGGGAGGAAGCCGCCGGTGGACATGCTGAGGGTGTTCGGTTGCATGGCAGTCGCCCACGTCCCCAAGACCTACCGCAGTAAGTTGGGGGCGAGTGCAATCTGGTGTGTCCATTTGGGGCTGGCTGCTGAGAGCAAGGGATGGCTGCTGTGGGAACCTTCCAAGGGTGTGTTGTTTGACAGCAGGGATGTGAAGTTTGTTGAGGGCATGATGTATGGGAGCTGGGAGAAACAGCCGGAGGCCAGGGTGTCCCAGCAGATGGAGCAGATTACCATGCAGCTGGACCTGACTCCTAGTGTGTGGGAGGAGGGAGAGGAGGCAGCTGCAGAGGGTGGTGATAAAGAGAAGGTGCAGGAGGCACCTGCTGGTGGAGGTGATGGTGTGGAGATTAGCGGTAGCACTAGTGGAGCTGCTGGATCCGAGGGAGGAGAGCAGCAGCAGGGGAAAACTAAGAAGCCGAAGGGTGTTATTATGAAGGGATGGGAGACACCCGTCTCCAGGCCAGGACGTACCCGTATGGCTACTAAGAAGCTGACTGCAGGAGCTGATGTAGCGGAGCAGCAGCTTGGGACCGAGGAGGCATTGCTGATTCTACCGCATGGCTATGACCCGGATGAGGAGGATCAACCTGCGTACTGTTTTCTTGCCCCTGCACCAGAGGAACCAGCTAGCATGGAGGAGGCATTAGCTGGACCAGATAGGGACAAATGGCTAGCTTCCAGGGATGCTGAGTACCAGAGCCTGCTGGAGAATGGGACTTGGGAACTAGTGGTGCTGCCTGAGGGAAAGAAAGCGGTACAATGCAAGTGGGTGCTAAGGATCAAGACTGACGACAAGGGGCAGGTCACCATCTACAAGAGTAGGTTGGTGGCTAAGGGGTTTATGCAGAAGGAGAAGCGGGACTTCAATGAGATCTTTGCTCCCACTGCCAAACCCCCTACCCTTCGTGTCTTGTTGGCAGATGCAGCCGTTGGTGGGAAGTTCATTATCCAGATGGATATATCAACGGCATTCCTCAATGGGATTTTAGAGGAGGAGGTGTTCATGACGCAGCCGCCTGGGTATGAGGATGGTACGGGCAGGGTGTGCAAGCTGAAAAAGTCCATCTACGGCTTGAAGCAGGCGCCACGCTGCTGGTACCAGAAGTTGGCAGCTGTTTTAGAGGAGATGGGATTCAGGACCAGCAGCTGTGATGAGAGCCTCTTTCTCAAGGGGGAGGGGGAGAAGCTGGTGCTGTTTCTGGTCTATGTGGACGACATTCTTCTCTTTAGCAGCAGCATGAAGGAGATCCAGAAGGTGCAGCAGCAGCTGATGGAGAACTTCAAGTGCAAGAACCTTGGGGAGGTAAAGTACTACCTCGGGATGCACGTGGAGAGGGATCTGGATCACAGGTGGTTGAAGCTGCACCAGGAGAAGTTCATCAAGGAGCTTGGGGAGAAGTACGGAATTGAGAATGAGCGCAAGGTTGCAACTCCCCTGCCAGCAGAATTCAAGCTTGTGAAAGCTGCAGAGGATGAAGGGGTTGAAGCTGAGGAGCAGCAGCAATTTCAGTCCTTGGTGGGCAGCCTCTTGTATGCAGCAGTTCACACGAGGCCCGACATCTCTTTCTCGGTTGGGCAGCTGGCTAGGGTAGTGCAGAATCCATCAGAGGAGCAAGTGGATGCAGCTGAGCGTGTGGTGAAGTATCTGAACTCTCACCCAAGCATTGGAGTTCAATACTCCGCATCTGCACAGGTGAAGCAGAAAGGGGTTGAGGTGCTGAAAGAGAAGGGGGAGAGGCTTGGAGAAGGCAAGCTTTTTCTCACTTGCTTTACTGATGCTACGTGGGCCTCTGAGAAGGAGGATTCCTCATCTGTGGGAGGATACATCTGCGTAGTTGGGGGAGGACCGGTTAGTTGGAGGTCAAAGAAGCAGACGGAGACAGCACTCTCTTCCGTGGAATCAGAGTACATGGCGATGTTCCATGGGGTGAAGGAGGTGATTTGGCTGAGGAGGCTGTTGGAGGAGATTGGCCAGGAGCAAAAGGTTGCTACGCCGCTGTTTTGTGATAGCAAGGGAGCTCTTGGGATGGCCAGGAACGCTGTGCTTCATGGGCTCAATAAGCACATGCGTATCAAGTGGCACTGGCTGCGTAAGGAGGTGAAGAGGGGGACGGTGAATCCGATCTACATCAAGACTCACCAGCAGCCAGCAGACTTCCTCACCAAGAGGCTTGCGGATGAGTCTCATTGGCGTTGTGTGCGCATGAGTGGAATGAGCATGAACTAGTATGGAATGATGGGGATGCAGCCGGCAGGCTGAGGGGGAGTGTGTTGGGTGCAAATTCACATTGCACGACATCCTGCCGTCTGTTTGTACGAGTATGCGTGTGCGAATGCATTTGCGTGTGAATGGTATGTTTGTGTGTTTGTTTGCTTTCGCAATTTTCGCTTGAAGCATTTGCAGGTACTCGCAAAATGTGCGCTTCGGCATAACATTGTACGCGCTATGAACAGTACAAGCAGAAAGGACGAGCTCGCAAAGGAACCCAAGATGGAAGCTTTGCGGTTCAACTTACTTGATTGCGCAGATTCAGTTCTATCCAACTCGAAATTGTACTGTTTTGTTTGGTTGACTATAGTGTAGCAGGGCAGGCACTATAGGGGTACAATTTAGGTGAAGGTTGGATGTTGTTTGTCTGTATCTGCATGCTACAGGGCCAGGGGAAACCAGCGGAACCAGCATTTGGCTGGTTGGGCAAAGACAAAACAGGTTCTGTTTTTAGGACCTGAACCTGGTTGTTGTTTTTCCCAGGTTGGAAAAACAGAACCAGAGGTTGTTCACCAACCTATCACCTGCTATTTTGTCCAGCCAGGTTGGTTCTGTTGCTTGGAATTATTTGGGATCATCCCTGGTTGTTCCCAGGTTGATTCCCAAGGTCCTTGCTAGCTAGAGCTATTTATTCCTTCTCTGTTTGTACCTGAATATAGTGAAATTGATTCAAGCGAATTCCTTCCTTGCTGGAATTTCTTTTCTACGCGGTGCGACGGCGGAATGCTACCCGAGTCAACGCTAGTACGCTAGCACTCCAACGCTAGGCTAACGCTGTCCGAGCCATAACTTCGTAATGGCAGAACTTTTCGCGAGGCAACTTGGCTTATTTTAAAGCTCTTAGAGTGAGCTTCGATATAGGAAATTCTCAGCTTAATCCGATCGACGGTCTGCACGATACGCTGCGCGACGTTCAAGGTACTCTTGCTGTTTTGACTAAGTCCCTCTTGATCCCTCTCTCTACAAACTCGGACCCGAGGATAGGGGCTGGTCTTGTACCAGGCACCCAAGGACCCTTGGAGGTGACCCCGAGGAGAGGTTTTAAGTGTGATAAAGTCTTAATAGCTTGAGTTTATTAGGCCCTTACACCAACAACTGCTGACAGCACTGTTCGCTCACAGTGGGCGACACGCAATGCTGCTGCCCTTCTTGCTGTGCGTCGCCACTTACCGAGCATTGAGCGTGCGCACTTTAGCCAGTACAAGAGAGCTCAGACCTTGTACAACGCTGTAGTTGCACGCTACTCTTCTCCTGCCACTGCTGCACTGAGCCGCCTCATGCTACCGTACCTCTTCCCTGACCTTGCTGCCTTTCCCACAGTCGCTGACCTCATTACGCACCTCCGCACTAGTGACACTCGCTACAGCGCTTCTCTTCCTACTGAGTTCTGCGCCAAGAACCCCCCCCCCCCCCCCCCCCCCCCCCCCCATGTACATCACCCTCTACTACGTAGTCAGCCGGCTCCCTGACTCCCTTCGCTTAGTCAAAGGCCACTTCCTCTCAGTTTGCCCAACCACGCTCACCGTTGACCTCCTCGACGAGCGCCTCCTAGCAGCAGAGAAGAGCATAGTCGCTGTAGGAGCCTCTTCTGGTGACCCTCACACCCCCGTCTTTGAGGGGTGTTCCCCCTCCCCCCTCTTGCCCTCTCTTGCTTCTGCTGCTGCGGCCGACCTCGTTGGTTTCTACGGGGTCGGCGCTGCGTCTCCCCTTAGCAAGAGACCCTGCACCCACAAAGGCAAAGGGGGCAAGGGAGCTGAAGGGGCTAGCGGGGATGGTGGAGGTGTTGGTTGAGGCAGTGGAGGGGATGGGGGTGGTGGAGGGAGTGGTGGCGGGGGTGGCGGCGGCGGTGGCAGCAGTGGCGGCGGAGGAGGCGGCGGTGGTGGCGGAGGGAGCGGAGGCGGCGGAGGTGGCGGAGGCGGCGGAGGTGGTGGAGGCAGCAGAGGTGGCAGCGGCGGCAGCGGTGGAGCTGGTCGCGACTCTGCGCAGAGGAGTGGGTCCGGTGGTGGTCCGCGTCAGTAGCAGCAGCGCAATCGTGAGACCCTGACCCCTCAGCAGCTTCGTAAGTGGTACGCTGCGCTTCAGCGCGGTGGGGGTACTGGCCCCTGCACTTACGTCTTCCGTACCAGCGACCGCGCTGGTGAGCAGTGCGCAGGCCCGCACTCCACCCAGCGCTGCTTTGGCCGCCTGACGGTCGCGTGGCATCACCAGTTCCCTGAGGCGTCAGAGATCCCTCGCTGGGGAGATCTGTCTAGGGCGGGGGTTGCCAACTTTGATCTTGACTATAATGCTATTCTTGCTGCCATGTATGCTGTGTCTGCTAGTGTTAAGGGTGACTGTTACCTGTGTGTTCCGCCTGACCCGGGCATTGAGGCTGCTACTCTAGGTGCTGGTGAGGCTGCTGCTCTAGGTGCTAGTGCATCTGCTGCCCCACGTGCTAGTGCGTCTGCTGCCCCAGGTGCTGGTGAGTCTGCCCTTTCTGGTACTACGACGGCTCAGGCCTTACACACCTTCACCCTTGACTCGGGTGCTTTCCGCTCCTTCTTTCGAGACTGCACCATGCTTACGCCGCTTAGTCGGCCGGTTGCAGTCTCCCTCGCGGTCCCCTCTGGGGGTCCTGTCCTTGCTAGCTTCTCCACTGTTTTACCGTGCCCAGCAGCCCCCTCTGGCGCCCTCTCAGGTCTCTACCTCCCCTCGTTCTCTACGAACTTGGTGAGTGGAGCTAACCTATAGGATAGGGGGGTTGACCACTTCACTCCTGCGAGTCAGCGAGTGACCCACTGCACGTGTGCTCGGACAGGCCGACACTTGGCAACGTTCACCCGTCGACCAAGGTCGAGCCTGTACACACTTACTATTGAGTCTCCTTTGGCTGCTGAGTCTGGCCAAGTAACTGCGTCGAGTCAAGTGTTTACTGCAGCCTCCAAGTCTGGTCCTGAGTCTGCTCCCTGCTCGTGTCGTCTCCTGTCCCACCAGACTCTCCTTTGGCACCACCGTCTTGGTCACCCCTCCCTGCCTCCTCTCCGAGGCACGGCCTCCCGTGTCCTTGTCTCTGGTCTCCCCCGGTCTCTTCCTCCCCTACTCCCGGGGCCTGCCCCTACTTGCGTTCCCTTGCGTCGAGGAGCGACAGCGCACCGCCCCTCACTCCTCCGAGTTTCCTCCGACAGAGGCTCCGCTGCAGACTCTCCTCATGGACGTGTGGGGCCCCGCCCGCGTCCGTGGACAGGGGCACAAGCAGTACTTCCAGTTGGTGGTTGATGTCTACTCGCGTTACACCACAGTCTTCCCCTTGCGCAGCAAGGGTGACGTCACTGCGGTGTTGATCGACTAGATCCGCGTAGCTCATCTCCATCTCAGAGAGAGTTTCAGCTCGGACTTTCCTGTTCTGCGTCTGCACTTTGACCGAGGCGGGGAGTTTTCCTCTTCCTGTCTTGGAGCCTTCTGTCATGCACAGGGCATCCGCCAGACCTTCATGCTTCCGGCCTCTTCACAGCAAAATGGGATTGCTGAGCGCCGCATTGGCATGGTCATGGACGTCGCTCGTACGTGCATGATCCATGCGGTTGCACCCCATTTTCTGTGGCTGTTTGCGGTTCAGTACGCAGCGCATCAACTCAACCTTCAGCCCCAGGTCTTCTTGCCAAAGACCTCCCCCACATTGCGGTGGACAGGGAAGGTTGGCGATGCGTCTGCGTTTCAGGTCTGGGGATCTCGGGCGTTTGTCCGCAACTTGTCTGCGGACAAGCTGTCCCCCCGTGCTGTTCCCTGCGTCTTCCTTGGCTTCCCCCTTGACGTGCTTGGGTGGCAGTTTTACCACCCCACCTCGGGCCGTGTTCTGTCCTTCGAGGACGTCACCTTTGACGAGTCGGTACCTTACTACCGTCTCTTCCCCTACCGCACTGCGCCCCTCCCTCCGCCGCCGCTCTTCCTTGCGCCAGGTCCTCCCCCGGTAGACCCCCTCCCCCTGTAGACCCCCTCCCCCCTCAAGGTCCTGCCCTGTCAGGTGTGTCCCACGTAGACGCAGTCGAGCTTGTCGAGGTAGCTGTTCACTATGGTGCTGTTAGAGGTGCTGAGCCTGCGGGTGCCGGGTTTGGAGGTGCTGGGCCTGGGGGTGCGGAGCGTGGGGGTGCTGAGCTTGGGGGTGCTGAGCCTGGGGGTGCTGAGCCTGGGGGTGCTGAGTCTGGGGGTGCTGAGCCTCGGGGTGCGGAGCCTGGGGGTGCTAGGTCTGCTTCTACGGCCGCTCGCGTGGCTTCGTCGAGGCAGGAGCCACTCTCTCCACAGGAGCAGCGCGAGTGGTTTGCCCGGCGCTACAGCTGTGCTGCTGGAGCTGGAGGTACTTCTGTTGCTGCTGGTCCCGGAGGTACTCGTACTGTCGGTGCTGGAGTGGCTAGGACAGGGGGTGCTGCTGGGGCTGCTGGAGTTGGTCCTGCTGGAGGTACTGCTGGAGCTACTGGCGATACTGTAGCTGTCGGTCCTGCTGGAGCTGGAGCTGCTGGAGGTGTTGGTGCTCGTGGTTCTGCTAGCGCTGGTGCTTCAGCGGGTGCTGGAGTTGGCGCTATTGGAGCTGGAGCTACTGCTGGTGCTGCCGCTGGGGGTACTGGTGCTGTCCATGGTGGTTCTGGAGACGCTGCGCGGCCGCGGCCGTACTTCGTTCCGCTCCTCAAGCAGGTTCTTGGTCTCCCGCCCTCTAATGGTCCTGTGTTTTTTAGAGAGTCCACAGCTTGTCCAGTCGCAGTCACAGCTACAGCCCGCCTCCCCTCTTCCTGCTCCTTCTCCCTACACTAGTCCCACTGGAGGTCTTGCTGAGCGTCGTGAGCCTGCGTCTCGTCCCGCGTCGCCTCTTCGTGCTGCTTGCACTAGTCGTCGTGCTCCGCCTCCGCATCCTCCTGCGGTCCCACGCACACACCAGATGGCACTGCGTCCTTCCACTGCTCCTCTGCGTGTCCCGTTGCCGTCTCCTCCAGAGTCCTCTCTTCCTGTTCTTGCTGAGCATGTCGACTTCGCTGCTTGCTGTCATCTAGACTACGCCACTAGTCTTGTTGTTGAGTCGGAGTCTATCTGTCCTCCGTCCGTCGGGGGTGAGTGTGCTCTTAGCACAGACGTCCTTGAGGAGAGGCAGGAGGAGTTCCAGTGATTTGTTGCTGCTTTGCCTCATCTCGTGTCCACGATGATTGCCCTTGAGGGAGACCCGAATGCACCAGACATCCCGACTCCTCGATCGTACGCTCAGGCGATCAAGGGTCCCTTCTCCTCTCAGTGGCAGTCAGCCATGGACGCAGAGATGGCTTTCTGGAAGTCCACAGGCACCTACGTCAACAAGGTTCCCCTACCTGGGGCGAACATCGTCAGTGGCATGTGGATTTTCAGGGTGAAGCGGCCGCCGGGTTCTCCGCCTATCTTCAAGGCGCGTTACGTGGCTCGAGGCTTCAGTCAGCGGCAGGGAGTTGACTACTTTCAGACCTTCTCTCCCACCCCAAAGATGACCACTCTCCGGGTGCTGCTGCACATAGCCGCTCAGCGCGACTACAAGCTTCACTCTCTTGACCTCAGTTTGCTTTTCTGCAGGGCAGCCTGCACGAGGAGATTTGGCTGCGCCACCCACATGGCTTCACTGGGTCGTTTCCCCCTTGTACCAAGTGGAGCCTCCGGCGGCCAGTCTACGGTCTCCGCCAGGCGGCCCGTGAGTGGCACGACACACTGAGGACTACACTTGCGGCTCTTGGGTTTGCTCCTTCTAGTACCGACCCGTTGCTGTTTCTGCGCACCGGCACCTCTTTGCCGCTGTTATGCATCCTTGTGTACGTCAACGACTTGGTCTTTGCCACTGCTGACACTGCTGGACTAGCCCACGTGAAGTCCGAGCTACAGAAGAGACACACGTGCACAGACCTGGGTGAACTGGGCAGCTACCTTGGCTTGCAGATCACCAGGGACAGAGCATAGCACACCATTATCCTGACTCAGTCACACATGGTGCAGCAGGTCCTTCGGCGCTTCGGCTTCACGTACTCCTCGCCTCAGGCCACTCCTCTGTCTACTCTCCAGTCGCTCTCAGCTCTGCCTTCGGATGAGTCCGTAGAGCCGAGTGGCCCGTACCCAGAGCTTGTTGGCTGCCTCATGTACTTGATGACCTGCACACGACCTGACCTTGCATACCCTCTTAGCATCTTGGCACGCTATGTTGCTCCTGGGAGACACCGACCAGAACACATGGCTGCAGCGAAGAGGGTGTTGCGCTACTTGTGCAGTACGTCGGGCATGGGGCTAGTGCTTGGAGGGGGACGTCGAGTGGTCCTCACAGGTCACGCAGACGCTTCTTGGGCTGACGACCAGGCTACGCAGTGGTCGTCACAGGGTTACACCTTCAGCCTTGGCTCCGGCTCTGTTTCGTGGTGGTCTACCCTTTTGTCTTCTGTTCTCGGCTCCAACAGTGAGGCTGAGATCTACGGGGGGGCCATGGCTGCACAGGAGCTACACTGGCTCACCTACCTGCTGACTGACCTAGGAGAGCCGCCTCGTACTCCTCCAGTTCTGTACGTAGACAACAAGGCCATGCTGGCCTTGTGTCGGGAGGACAGACTCGAGCACATAATGAAGCACATTGCTCTCCGTTACTTCCTTGCTCGTGAGCGGCAGCATCTTGGTCAGCCGCGCCTTGCTTACGTGGCCTCTGAGGCCAACACTGCTGATATCGTTTCCAAGGCACTTCCACCTTGTGATCATCAGTGCTTTCGTACGATGCTAGGTCTTGTGCCTACTTAGCCTCACTTGCTCACTTCTTGACCATGCTGGTACTGTGATCTTTCTATACCTGCACTTGCTTGTTTAACTTTATATATGATCTTGCATGTGAACTGGCCTTGTGGCCTTGCTCTTGTGGTGACGTTGTGATCCACCCTGAGCTTGCTTTGCTTTGCTTGACTTGTCTTCTGACCTCTTGTTCTCCCCCACTTTGCCTATGGGGATGTGTCAAACTTATATCCTATAGTATGTGTAGGATGTAGTGGGGTAGACAATATGGGGTACAACACTTCTAGGTTTTCCTACTTGTACCCACCTGCTTGCTAGTTCATTCATTCCTCATTCTTCACAGTTCCGTCTTGTACGATGCTTGCAAGAAGGCCTGCGATGATCTGCTCAAGGGCCCTGACGTCTCCGCGCGTGTCATTTACTCTGATAAAGACCAATTCAAGTCGGCCGTTGTGGTGCACCTCGCCCTAAAACCCAAAGACTTCAGGAAATTCAATCACTTGTGGAAGAAAGGCGAGTGGGCGAAGGAAATTTGCAACGGCTGGTGGGGGAAACTTGGTAAGATGTCTCGGAAGGCAAGTTTCAAGCTGTTGAAGTACCCTGACGGCAAGGCAATGAAAGACTCCGTTGACGATCGGTGCTCTTATGCACGATCGTGCGTCTCTGGTACGTGTTCACTGTTTGCCACTGCTCTGGTTATTACTGGTGTCTTACACTTCTGTTTCTCTTTGTGTAGAGGAGTTTGGCCTGCCGTGGCATGCTGAGGTGGAAAATTCAGTTCTGTAGCGAGGGGTTTTTAGTTGCTGCAAGCAAGTGGCAGAAGAAAGAGGGTGGTGTATTCTCCCTGAGCATTGATCAGCTTTGCTACACAATGGTAGCGGTAAGTTTCTTTGCTTCTTTATTATGTGTCTTAATTATTTACCATTTAATTTAATTGCACTTGTTTTGCTTGGCAGGTGGAGTTTGAGATGTTGTCTCGTGAACAAAGCAGCATTTTTTCTTATTCAGAGAACAACACCCGCGAGATGGACAAGAGGAGGGCCCAGGTTGAGAGCTGGGTCCGTCGTGCAAGCATCCCATCCGTTAGTGGGTTTTACTACTTCGAAGATGTTATTGTGAAGAATTGGCAGATTGTAGAGGATATCTAGGAGCCTGCTTTAGCCGTAGCGGATGTAGATTTAGTATAGTATATGTCACTCTGTTTCCTAATTTCTAACCATTTTATAAACTTGAGTTCCTTGATCAATAGTGCAAATTACATTTTTCTGTGTGTAATTCGAAGTCATACTTTATTTTTATTAATGTAGCTTCTCATAGTCTCGCGGTTGATATTGTTCAGCTCGTAAACAATCTAGTTATCACAATTAAAGATTCTTGCTTTGTCACTTTTCCATTGAGGCACAAATATCCAATAACAATTACGCTGCCGCTTTTGATATATACATTTTGTGATCACGTGGTAACCAACAATCTCAAAATTGTTACGGTTGTAATTATACCCAAATTTTTGGGTCTCGCATGTGCGAGGGCCATCTTATCGACCACGAAGGTAACAAACTCAATTTGCTCGCCCCAACTGACATAGGATGCGCAACTTACACAATGCAGTCGCCTCGCAGGTCGGTTTCGGCATTGCGCAGGTTGACTGCAGGGTGGTTCTGTTTTCCCACAATTACCCCCCCTCATTGAAAGCAGACTGACAGGACTCCCGAAATCAGGAGTCACCGGGATAAGGAGGTGCGGCTGGAGATTGTGAAGACCCAGCAGCAGGCGGCTGACGTTCTCACCAAGTGCCTGGCAGAACCTGAGCACTGGAAGGGCATGAAGCTTGCTGGAATGAGTGTGCATTGAGTGTGCATGAATGAGCTAAGGCATGAGAGATGATGGTTGGCAGCCATAGGGGGAGTCTGTTATGTGATGCTATCATTCGCATTCACGTTTGTCTGCCTCCCATCATATGTTCGTGCGTTGCATGCGTGGTGTGGGTGTGTGCAAGAATATGTGTTTTGTGCGGTTTGGATTTTCTGAGTGTGTGTGAATGTGATCTGGCTTGAGCAGATATATGAAGTGACTCTTTTGCTCAAGCTTTCCGTCGAACCAAGAATCGTTTCAGTCGGAGCACGAGCAAGAAAGTTACGAACGTTCGAAGTTCGTATACTTTTCACATTTGGTTGCGACGACTATGGGAACTTTGCGGGTTGACTCAATATGAGGTATAGACTTTTTGGGGGTTGGGAAATTTGTCCCCATCAGTGTTGATGCTGCTATGTGGTTGGGAGAAGCCAAACCAGGTTTGCAAGTGTGGCCAAGTTGGGTGAGGTGGATGGCATGGGTTGGAAAGTGACAGAAGTAAAAGTGGGGTTGCCATAGGAAGGGGATTTGATGTGCTTATGGGGTTTCCTAGGTTGGGGACTCATTGGGACCTTCCCTCTCGTCCTCCTCTTCCCTCCTACCTACTTTCTAGCCACTCCAACCTTCTTGGTGTGGCACTTGTGAGAACTTGTAAAACAATTGTGATTGAGTTAATACTTCATGCCAGCTCACCCCCTAGTGTGCCAAAATTCATAACTCGAGTTCTACTCCGTCTTTTGACATGATTCAATTTGGAAAAGATAGCCACGGTTAAGAGCTACATCATACTTGAGTTTGAGACAATTCTATCTGTGAAAGTTTTGTTCTTGACGTTTCTTGTGAAGTCGACGATTCCGTCCAGAAATTCAGACCAACGATTTTGTGATATTCCGGCCCCATAACTTCCTAGACTCCGTCCTTAGTCTTTAACAGACATGGGAGGATGGAGGTGGGGCAGGTTGGGGTGGATGAGTTGATGATGCTGAAGTTGTTGGGGATGACCATGGTCGATGGTAGGAGCGGGATGGGAGGTCGTAGTTGCCGACGGTGACAGTTGCGTTACGCCAATAGATTCGCGGTCCAAGCTGATATAGCCACGGTCGACCAAGAACGCCTTTGTAGCCGCCAAGGTGCATCTGCTCGAACGTAACCGTCACCTCGAGGCTTCCAAACATGCAGGGCACGGGGAGGAGGGTAGGTCCGCAGCGCCGCCGAGTACCATCTGCCATGATCACGTCCTGTGGGGTGCTGTTGGGATCTTCGGGAAGAGATAGTTCAGCAACAATTGAGGGAGAGAGAAAATTTGCTGAAGCTCCGGTATCAAGTAGAAAATCTACGTAGCGGTCCTTGATTTTTGCCCATATGATGATGGCGGGGTATGGAGCGTTTGATGTTGTGTACAGTTCAGAGGTGCCGATGAATGATGGGGTTGGGAGAAGCGGGGCATGCGACGCGCCAGAGGTCTGCCCCACTACTACTGGCGCTGTCCGTTTCCCCGTCATTTGTTTAGGCTTCGATGATTGGGGCAATTACGCTTGATGTGCCCAATCTTCCCGCATTGGTAGCACATAACGTTTGAGGAATTCCGCGGCTACTTCTCCATCATTCCCAGCTCCATAGGTGTAGGACCATTTGCACGAGCAGCTGGAGCGTGATTCGTGTGGCCCATCTCCATGCCATTGAAGCGTTGGAACGCAGCAAAGTTGATCGTGTCGAAGCGCTCTGCCATACGGATCATGTCATCCATTGACGTGCATCCGCGCAGCTCCACCTTGGTGCGTATCTTTGGTTTCTGCCCGCGCTTAAACTTATCCATCAGCTCGTAGGCAGGGATAACGGGAATCTCAAACACCAACTCTCGGAAATGGTTGACGTATTCGGCTACGGAGCGGTGTTGGCGTAGTGCAGCGAGGTTGTCCCGGGCACGTTCAATCGCGTTGACGGGTTCAAAGTTCATGGTGAGTGATGCTGAAAATTCTTCATATGTTGAAATTGTAGAGTGGCAGCTCTGCCACCAAGTAGTAGCAGCTCCTCGCAGCATCATGCCAGCGTGACGCGCCCATTCGGCTTGGTTCACGTGGCATAGGGAAAGGTACTCCTCCATTTGGAAGAGCCACTTTCGCAATGGTAGTAGGTCTCGTTTTCCTGGGAAAAATGGCTCAGGTTCCGGTGCTTTCAGATGTGCAGAGACCACAGCAGGTGCTGGCGCCGGCACCTGTGCGCGCAGGAGTCCACGTTTCTGGAATTCGCCAAGAATCCTGTCACGCACTCGCGTTCAATTTCTCGGCGCATATTGGTGACAAACTCGTTCCAGAGTTCCGGCGTCATATCAGACGGCCTAGCCATAGGGTCTAGAATATGGCGGGAGCGTGCAAAATGACTAGCCAGGCTCTGATTACCGGTGAAACGTTGCTGGCAGGGAAGTAGCAGCCTTAGTCGGCTTGGAAAACGGTATGGGAAGCACTCTAAAGTTCTCTGGAATTTGCATTGTGACTTCACAAATTTGAGAGTACAATTTTATAGAGCACATTCTAACATCGAGTTGCACTCAAAAGTCGCGACCCTCTCTGAATTTCTTAATGGTAACCTAACCCTTTGAAATGAACCTGCCATGAAATTCAGAGAATTATTGCGGTACGGGATTGGACGGGGAGCTTGGTTACGGGGCTGTAATTTTGTCAGTATTGTTGGCGAAGTCGGCGAGCGGTCGGAACTTCGGTGTTCTGCGTTTCATAATTTTCGTGCGTGGGATTGATTTGGGCTGCGTGTCGGAACTTCGTCGCCCAATTGGAGGTTGAGTCGCTTGACCAATCCGGACTGTAGGTGAGGTGGCGCTTGACTTCCGCCCACCTGCACTGTTCTTGGAAATTGTCTTGTTGCACTGTTACAATTGACTTTTGCCCACTTGTGTTGCAGTTGGCAGCATTCGGCTGCTGCACTGTTACAGTTGTCGTTCCCTGTTGCGCACGCCACACGCGCCGTCATGGACGCTTTTCCCCCCCATCCTTGCCACCACCCTCATGCGCTCTCTCTTCTTCTTGCCCCTCCATTGCTCCTCCTCCTCCTCGCACTCGCGTGCCTTAGCCCTCCACCCCCACTCGCCTAACTCCTTTCCTCCCTATCCCTCGCCCCCCGCCCTCTCTCTATGTGCTTATGCTCTCCCCTTCCTCCGCCCCCGCCGCTGCTTCCCATCCCCACAGCGCGCCAGCTGACACGTCACCGTGCTGAGCTGGCGGCGTTCTTCTACGTGGGCATGAACACATTCACGGACCGCGAGTGGGGCACGGGGCGCGAGGACCCGCGGCTGTTTGACCCGGCGGCGCTCAACGCGACGCAGTGGGTCGACACCGTCAAGGCCGCTGGCTTCCAGGTGTGCGCAACATAATCGGGAGGCCTTGAGGTGCGCACAACCCACCAGCCACGTGGTGCGCCTCGCGCTCTCGTTATCGTGCGCGCTGGGAGAGGCCCTAACGACCCCGTCGCCCTACCTACGGCCTCAGCCCCGTCGCCCTACGTGCGACCGTGGCCCCGCCGCCATACCTGCGGCCCCGACCCTAGCCCCGTCGCCCCACCTGCGCCCCGGCCCCGTCGCCCTACCTGCGCCTCGGCCCTAGCCCTGCGCCCTACTGGTGCCCTGGCCCCGTCGCTCCAACTGCGACCCTGGCCCCGTCGCCCTACTTGCGGCCCCGGCCATAGCCCCGTCGCTACTTGCGACTCCGGCCCCGTCGCCCCACCTCCGACTCAGGCCCCGTCGCCCTACCTGCAACCCGGCCCCGGCTCTGTCGCCCTACCTGCGTACCGGCCCCGTCGCCCTACCTTCGACCCGGCCCCGTCGCCCTACCTGCGCCCCAGCCCCGGCCCCGTCGCCCTACCTGCGAACCGGCCCCGTCGCCCTACCTTCGACCCGGCCCCGTCGCCCTCCCTGCGCCCCGGCCCCAGCCCCGTCGCCCTACCTGCGCACCGGCCCCGTCGCCCTCCTTCGACCCGGCCCCGTCGCCCTACCTAAGGCCCCGCCCCGCCGCCATAACTGTGGCCCCGCCGCTCTACTAGCGGCCCCGCCACCCTACCTGCGGCCCCGCCACCCTACCTGCGGCCCCGCCACCCTACCAGCGGCCCTGCCGCCCTACGCATGCTCGCACAGGCCGGCACCTGGCCACGTTTACGCGTCGGCCGGGGTCGAGCCTCTACACCCTGACCACTGAGTCTCCTCCTGTCCCTGCGTCTGATCAGGTAGCTGCGTCGGGTCAGGTGTTTGCTTCAGCGTCCAGGTCTGGTCCTGAGTCTGCCCCCTGCTCGTGTCGCCTCCTGTCTCACGAGACTCTCCTATGGCACCACCATCTTGGTCACCCCTCCCTGCCTCGTCTCCGAGGCATGGCTTCCCGTGTCCTTGTCTCTGGTCTTCCCCGGTCCCTCCCTCCCTTTCCTCCGGGCCTGGCCCTTCGTGCGTCCCCTGTGTCGAGGGGCGGCTACGGGCTGCCCCTCACTCCTCTCAGTTTCCCCCGACAGAGGCCCCCCTGCAGACGCTTCACATGGACGTGTGGGGCCCGGCCAGCGTCAGTGGACAGGGTCATGAGCGCTACTTTCTGCTGGTGGTTGATGACTACTCGCGTTACACCACAGTCTTCCCCTTGCGCAGCAAGGGTGATGTCACTGAGGTGTTGATCGACTAGATCCGCGCAGCTCGTCTCCAGCTCGGGAGGAGCTTCGGCTCGAACTTTCCTGTTCTGCGTCTGCACTCTGACCGAGGCGAAGAGTTCTCCTCTGGCCTTCTGCGAGCCTACTGCCGTGCGTGAGGCATCTGCCAGACCTTTATGCTTCCGAACTCTCCACAACAAAATGGGATTGCTGAGCGCCGCATTGGCATGGTCATGGACGTCGCCCGTACGTCCATGATGCATGCGGCTGCCCCCCATTTTCTGCGGCCGTTTGCGGTTCGGTACGCGGCGCATCAGATCAACCTTCACCTCAGGGTCTCCATGCCGGAGACCTCCCCAGCTTTGCTGTGGACGGGGAAGGTAGGCGATGCGTCTGCATTCCATGTCTGGGGATCTCGGGGGTTTGTCCGCGACTTGTCTGCGGACAAGCTGTCCCCTCGTGCTGCTCCCTGTGTCTTCTTTGGTTTCCCCCCTGACGCGCAAGGGTGGCAGTTCTACCACCCCACCTTTCGTCGTGTTCTGTCCTCCTAGGACGTCACGTTTGACGAGTCGGTCCCCTACTACCGCCTCTTCCCCTACCGCACTCCTTCCCTCCCCCCGCCACCGCTTTTCCTTGTGCCAGGTCCCCCCCGGGTAGACCCCCTCCCCCCTCAGGGTCCTGCCCCTTCAGGTATGTCCCAGGTAGACGCATTCGAGCCGGTCGAGGTTACTGGTGACTCTGGTGCTGCTGCGGGTGCTGAGCCTGGGGGTGCTGATTCTGGGGGTGCTGCACGTGTGGGTGCTACGCCAGGGGGTGCTGGGCTTTCGGGTGGTACTACTAGGGGTGCAGAGCCTAGGGGTGCTGAGACTAGGGGTGCTGAGCCTGGGGGTGCCGCGCCTGGGGGTGCAGAGCCTGGGGGTACTACGCCTGGGGGTGCTACGTTTGGAGGTGCTGAGCCTGGGGGTGCCACGTCTGGAGCTGATGAGCCTGGGGGTGGGGAGCCGGCGGCCCCTGGACCTGCTCGTGTGGCGTCTGGTGGTGCTGGGCCTGGAGGTTCTCCGGGTGCTTCGTCTCGGCGGGAGCCACTCTCTCGACAAGAGCTGCGTGAGTGGTTTGCCCGACGCTGGAGGCGTACTGCTGGAGTTGGAGCTTCTTCGGCTGCTGAGGGTGGTGGTGCCGCCGGTCCCGGAGGTGCTCGTACTGGGAGTGCTGGAGCTGTTGGGCCTGCGGGTACGACTGGAGCTGGAACTGCTGAGGGTGTTGGCGCTGAGGCTACTGCTGTCGGTCCTGGCGGCGGTCCTGTTGCGGGTGCTTCTGGTCCTGCAGCTGGAGGTGCTGTTGGCGCTGGTCCTGCCGCTCAGGGTGCTGGTGCTGTCCCTGCTGCGTCTGGAGTCGACGCGCGGCCTCGGCCGTACTTCGTTCCGCTCCTTCAGCAGGTTCTTGGTCCTCCTCCTCCCTTAGAGTCTCCACCGCCTATCCAGTCACAGTCACAGTTTCCCCCGGCCTTCCCACTACCTGCTCCTTCTCCCTACACTGGTCCCACTGGAGGTCTTGCTAAGCGTCGTGAGCCTGCGTCTTGTCTTGCGTCGCCTGTTCGTGCTGCTCGCACTAGTGGTCTCGGTTCGCGTCAGCGTCCTCCTCCTATCCCTGGCACGCACCAGATGTCTCTACGTCCGTCCACTGCTCCTCCACGTGTCCCTTTGCGTTCTCCTCCTGAGTCCTCTCTTCCTGCTCTTGCCGACCCGGAGTCGGACTCTCTTCTTGCTGCCAGTCCTACTGTCACGCGTCTCCTTGCTACTGTCGTCACTGACCCTTCCTTTGAGTCCACTGTTGCGTCTGCCCTAGTAGCTGAGCTCGTCGACTTTGCTGCTCGCTGTCGTCTAGACTACGCTGCTTGTCTTGTTGTTGAGTCTGCGTCTGTCTGTCCTCGGTCCATCGGGGGTAAGTGTGCTCTTGGCACGGACGTCCTTGAGGACAGGCAGGAGGAGTTCCAGTGTCTGGCTGCTGCTTCACCTCATCTCGTGTCCGCACTGCTTACCCCTGAGGGAGACCCGGATGCACTTGACATCCTGACTGCGCGCTCTTACGCGGAGGCCGTAGAGGGTCCCTACTCCTCTCAGTGGTAGGCAGCTTTGGACGCAGAGATGGCTTCCTTGAAGTCCACAGGCATCTACGTTGACGCGGTTACCCCGCCTGGGGCGAACATCGTCAGTGGCATGTGGATCTTCAGGGTGAAGCGGCCGCCAGGTTCTCCACCTGTCTTCAAGGCGCGGTACGTGGCTCGTGGCTTCAGTCAGCGGCAGGGAGTTGACTACTTTCAGACCTTCTCTCCCACCCCGAAGATGACCACTCTTTGGGTGCTGCTGCACATAGCCGCTCAGCACGACTACGAGCTTCAGTCTCTTGACTTCAGCACTGCTTTCTTGAAGGGTAGCCTACACGAGGAGATCTGGCTGCGCCGCCCACCTGGCTTCACTGGGACTTTTCCTCCTGGCACCCAGTAGAGCCTCCGGCGGCCAGTCTACGGTCTCCGCCAGGCACCGCGTGAGTGGCACGACACACTGAGGACTACGCTTGCGGCTCTTGGGTTTGCTCCCTCTACTTCCGTCCCGTCGCTAATTCTGCGCACCGACACCTCTTTGCCGCCGTTCTACATCTTCGTGTACGTCGACGACTTGGTCTTTGCCACTGCTGACACTGCTGGACTCGCCCACCTGAAGTCCGAGCTGCAGAAGAGACACACGTGCACAGATCTGGGTGAACTGCGCAGCTACCTTGGCTTGCAGATCACCCGGGACAGAGCACAGCGCACCATTGCCCTGACTCAATCACACATGGTGCAGCAGGTCCTTCAGCGCTTCAGCTTCACGTACTCCTCGCCTCAGGCCACTTCTCTGCCTACTCGCCACTCGCTCTCAGCTCTGCCTTTGGATGAGTCCGTAGAGTCGAGTGGCCCGTACCCAGAGCTTGTTGGCTGCCTCATGTACCTGATGACCTGCACACGACCTGACCTTGCATACCCTCTTAGCACTCTTGCACGCTATGTTGCTCCTGGGAGACACAGACCGGAGCACCTGGCTGCAGCGAAGAGGGTGTTGCGCTACTTGTGCAGTACGTCAGGCATGGGGCTAGTGCTTGGAGGGCAGAGTCCAGCGGTCCTCACTGGGCACGCAGACGCTTCTTGGGCTGACGACCAGGCTACACAGCGGTCATCACAGGGTTACACCTTCAGCCTTTCGTGGCGGGCTACTCGCTCGTCTTGCGTTCTCGGCTCCAGTTGTGAGGCTGAGATCTACGCCAGAGCCATGGCTGCTCAGGAGCTTCGCTGGCTCACCTACGTGCTGACTAACCTCGGAGAGCCACCTCGTTCTCCTCCAGTGCTGTACGTAGACAACAAGGCCATGCTGGCCTTGTGTCGGGAGCAGCGCCTGGAGCACAGAACGAAGCACATTGCTCTCCGCTACTTTCTTGCTCGTGAGCTGCAGGAGCGTGGTCAGTTGCGACTTGCGTACGTGGCCTTTGAGGCCAACACTGCTGATATCTTCACTAAGGCACTTGCGCCTTGTGATCATCAGCGCTTCTGTACTCAGCTTGGTCTTGTGCCTGTCTTGCTGCACTTGCTCACTTCTTGACCTTGCTTGTACTGTCACAAATATATATACTCCTGCTCTTGCTTGTTTAGCCCTTTATATATATGTGCTCCTGCATGTGAACTGGCACTGTAGCCTTGAACTTGTGCTCGGAATGTGT